GGTAGATTCTGGGAACTGTAGGGCCTGAAGTTATGTTTCCAACATCTGACCAGTTCAAAGGCCCATCTAGTCCTGTATTCTGTAAGCAAGCAGATGCCTGCAGGAAGCCCACAGGTAGGACTGAAGTGCAAAAGGAAAAACTCTTTCTCCTCATGCTCCCTAGCAACAAATATACAAAGCCATACTACTCTGGAAGAGGTGGGAGTAGCAGCCGCTGATATCTGTAGCCTCTACTTTTCATATTAGTAGGCATCAAAACACCTTAACAGCCATGATTTCTACAGTCTCGTTATGCACGGTGCTTTTATTTGTCCTGGGTCTGCCACCATTCAGTTTCAATAGGTAAACCCAGGCTCTAGTATTATGGGAACACTATACATTATTCCAAGGGTAGTTCTACCATGGATTTGCATAACTGCAGTATGATCTTGGCTACTTCTATTTTTTAATCAATTCTCTGCTTATCCCTGACACAGCTTTTGCCTTCTCTACAGGTGTTTTCTCATCTCATCTTGCTGCATGCCACAGGTTTCAGCAATGTTCTGCTTGCTAGTATATGAATTATTTGGGGAAAACTGCTCAAAAGCAGTATAGTAGAGGAAGATAAGACAGGGAAGATATGGAGGCAGTGACAGACTTTACTTTCTTGGGCTCCATGATCACTGCAGATGCAGACAGCAGCCACAAAATTAAAAGACGCCTGTTTCTTGGGAGGAAAGTGATGACAAATCTTGACAGCATCTTAAAAAGCAGAGACATCACCTTGCCAACAAAAGTCCGAATAGTCAAAGCTATGGTTTTTCCTGTAGTGATGTACGGGAGTGAGAGCTGTACCATAAAGAAAGCAGACCGCTGAAGAATTGATGCCTTTGAATTGTGGTGCTGGAGGAGGCTTTTGAGAGTCCCCTGGACTGCAAGGAGAACAAACCTATCAATTCTAAAGGAAATCAACCCTGAGTGTTCACTGAAAGGACAGATCCTGAAGCTGAGGCTCCAATACTTTGGCCATCTCATGAGAAGACTCCCTGGAAAAGACCTCGATGTTAGGAAAGTGTGAAGGCAAGAGGAGAAGGGGACGACAGAGGATGAGATGGCTGGACAGTGTCTGCGAAGCAACCAACATGAAATTGACGCAACTCTGGGAGGCAGTGGAAGATAGGAGGGCCTGTCGTGCTCTGGTCCATGGGGTCACGAAGAGTCGGGCACGACTAAACAACTAGACGACGAGAGGAAGGCCTGTGTATTTCTTTTTATAGATTCATAGAATAATTGAGTTGGAAAGGGCCTATAAGGTCATTGAGTCCAACCCCCTGCTCAATGCAGGAATCTTACAGATGGTTGTCCAATTTTCTCTTCAATGCCTCCAGCATTGGAGCACTCGCCACCTCCTGAGGTAATGGGTTTCATTGTTGTACTGCTCTAACAGTTGTTTTTCCGATATTCAGCCTAAATCTGAATTCCTGTAGCTTGAGCCCATTATTATGTGTCCTGCACTCTGGGATGATGAAGAACAGATCCAGCCCCTCCTCTGTGTGGCAGCCTTTTAAGTATTTGAAAAGTGCTATCATATCTTCTCTCAGTCTTCTTTTCACAAGGCTAAACACGCCCAGTTCTTTCAGTCTTTCCTCATAGGACTTGGTTTCCAATCCCTTGCATCCTTATTGCCCTCCTCTGAACTTGCACCAATTTGTTGGCATCCTTCTCTATGTCAAGAGCAGAGCCTGCCTCTGTAAATGGTGTAAACTTATTTTAATATACTATATTGTCCTATAGCTGGGTGTTAGAAGAACCCATAGGCTTGTTTTTCCATCTGCCATGAAATGAAAGAATTTAAGAAAGAGGCCACTTCAAGATTAGCTGAATGTCATTACCTAGCTTGTTCCTTCTTGTAGCATTAGAAGATGAACTGATCCATGATCAAGTCCCTTTAGACTCCAAGATTTATGGAAATCCTCCACAAAAGAGAAAAATCAAACACCTGCAGAGATAATGAATAGAGACTCAATTATTTTAGTTTTGGAGGAGGTAGTTGTGTTAGTGCAAGCACATTAGGCAAAATCCAAAGAAACAAAACAAAAAAGACACTAACACCTGGCACCTTAAAGACTAAATGTAAAATATACATTAAAATATAATAATTAGTCTTTAAGGTGTCACATGTTTTTGTCTTGTTCTGTTTTGTTTTGTTTCTTTGGATTTTGTCAGTTATTTTAAACTCATGTGGGCCATGAAAGTACCTTGGATGACAGAAATGCAGTAAGAAACCTAAGCAAACTCCATCTACTGAATGAAACAGCAATATCCGCTATTGTAGTGATTCTTAAAGTCTTCCACTTGTACACCACAATGAGATAGATCATATTCTAATTCCGACTAGCAAAATGTGGCTTCTTAACTATAATTTAAAACCACAAAATTCAGTGAGCCTGGGAAGCTTTCAAAATGGTCAATTGCAATAAATTTATGGAAAACATGATCTGTCCTTTGTTGCTTAGACCACAAATTGCATGGAAGATGCCCAAACAAACCACGGCTGGTCCTCTTGGATTGTTTCAGAGTGGATAACTGGGGAAACAAGCTGAGGAGAGGTCGGAATTGCCAGTTCAGACATCATGACAAGAAGCCATGGCCTTGGTAAGTAAGGCGAGAATAAACCATGGGTTCACATTGTGGGTTATGCTGTTTGGCAAACCATGACTTACTACTAGGGTTTGCTCGTACATGAGAAGACAGATTTCAAGAAAGCATAGTGCTGATGCATAAACATCATCTACAGCTAGTGCATAACAGTAGGTATTAAGATGTGGAAAGAATGGGTTCAAACTGCCCTCCACCATGAAACTCACTGGGTGACGAAGAAAGGTGGAAACCGTATTCATGAAGGCTTTCACGGCCAGGATCTAATGGTTGTTATAGATATAGAAGATATAGAACAATTAAGACTCGGACCACACGTTTTCTCAATAGTTTTTATCCCAGAGCTATAATTGCAATTAATAATGAGCTTAAAGACCACCAGTAGTGAATAATTAGTTGGACTGTGTTACTTGGCCTGCGGTGTAGATGTTTGTATTTTTAGTGGGGGACTTTTAGTGGGGGGGGAGTGTTTGGGGAATTTTATGTGTGTGCATATGTCTGGTCTCTGGGTGTCTGTGAATTTCGTTGTATGGGTATACTGTGTATATACTTACAATGACAATAAATTGTTGTTGTTGTTGTTGTTGTTGTGGGTTTTTCGGGCTCTGGCTGTGTTCTGAAGGTTGTTCTTCCTTAGGAGCTTAGGAAGAACAACCTTCAGAACATGGCCAAAGAGCTTGAAAAACCCACAACAACCAAAGGTGGAAACAGTTCCTCAAGCAGTGCTTTTCAGTTTGGAAACAGCCACAGCTGGATCCCATCTTCCGTCTTTTCTTTTTGTACTGTATTCTATCATTCATTTTGTGGTTCACAATGGATCTCTGGGGCTGTGTGGTGCACCCAAGGGTGTTTTTGCAGCTCCCTTAACCTTCTCTTTTTCCATACAGATTTATCTGCCTTTCCTAACTTGGCACACTCCCCAAAAGTTGTATCAAAGTCATTAGGTACTTCTCCATCATGTAGAAAACCAAATACAACAAGCCAACCCTAGATGCAGACAGTGTTTTGAAAATAATCTCATTGAAAATAACGTGGGTATGTGCAGACAGATAATCCTTGCATTTGGATGCCCATCTACCTTGTGCTTGTAACGCCTACAGTGAGTGATCCATATAGCCGCCTATATGGATCTCTCTCTCTCTATATATATATATATGGAAACAGTCTTTCATATCAGAAGTGGCATGGTAGAACAGCTAAGAGAATGAGAATGAGCTGTAAATAAGGAAGTTCCCCATTCATCTGTCAATAGCATGGAGGTAATAACACCTTACAGAACTGTTGTATGAATTACTTTTAATGCTCAAGAGAACTGTTCAGTTGCTAACTACGTATTATATCTAGTCTGGGTCAAGAGTAGCTCTGTGATCTGAAGTGATCCTTCTATTCCCAGGAAGGCTGGTGATGCAGCAGAGGTTGTCACGCGAGGAATCTAATTTCCCCTTCCAACTTCAGCCTCCACATCTAATGGCAATTCAGAATTTCATCTTACACCCCCAAGAAGATTGTCCGTGGGAACAGAGGGAATTGGCAAAACTCTTCTGCAAAAGTAGGAAGGTCTGCAAGCAACAGAATGGATTGCCTTGTCAGGTTAGAAGTTTGGTACTTAAGCAGTCCAAGACATGCTAGTTATTACAAATGTCTGAAATCTTTCCTTTGAAAATGCATTCTGCTCATAATAGTAGCTGGTAATCCCACACTGAAGGAAAAAAAAACAGGGAGATCAGCTTTCAGAGTTTAAAACTGTTCTTTCTGGTTGCAGGGCCTCCCTGGGATGTGCTGTGGCAACCAAGATTCTAAGCCACAAACTGGCACATGCCACACAGAAACACCTGCTTTAACAATTCCCATATTACAAAAGAGAGATCTCTAGCTATGACCAGGAAACATATCAAATCAATATTATGGGATACAAGCTAAATTTATCGATATACAATATAGTACAGTATGTTGGATTTTCAGATCAGGGCTGTTTGATACAGACCTCTGTGACCCTTCTTGACTACCTAAAAATACTACACAGAAGGTATATAGGGTAAGTTAGGATAATGAGAGAAGGAATGAGTCTCTCAAAACTGGAAAGCCTCTGATAATGGAACCTGCTGCAGATTGATGGAAGTCTCCTATCTATGCATGAAAAATTCTAAATCCAACCCCTTGTGGGCACAGCTTTGTCTAGTGATTACCAGTGCTGATCTAGCCATTGAAAACAGATTATATCATATATTCTGCTGAATGAAACATTTCGTTTAACTGACCATTCTTGTTGGAAAAATAGAAAAAGAACAATCACATTTAATGTTTTTTTAAACCAAAACAATGTTTATCATTTTAATAAATATATATCAAGGAAAAAACTCACTTTTACTACAACATCACCTTAGTATACAAGTACCTAAATACCTAAGCTTAAAACATCAGATGTTTGACATATACTGGAACAAGAACATAATTTTCTATTCTCAACTGAATATAACACAAGAAGAAAAAATCCACTTGAAAAAAATGGTCCATGTGGACAAATGACTAAATGATCTTACTCATACACTGTATGAATGAGACCTATATATAATATTGATAGCAATAATAAGAATGTTTTTGTCTTGGAGAAATAAGGTAGGATAACTTTAAAAAACACACAAAATAGATGTATTTAATATTGAATATCTTTGCACATTTCTTAATATGGGCATAGGTAAATTTTTCTCTTTCATTATCTGCAAATTTTGTCTATGTACTTCTTAAGCATAAAAGAAACTTAGAAATTACCTCTTGTAATTCTTATATCATGCAAATAATAAGCTTTTAAGTAGCACAACACAGTGTGTTAGAATTAGCTCCATTGTATAATCTTAAAATACAAGTTTTACAAAGGCAATTGAAATGCAGTGCAGTAGGAAGTGAAGTTATTCATGGTCAAGAACCTGACTCTGAATATTAAGTTCTAAGATCTTAAGATTCCTCTTAGGCATTACTGTGTGTGCAAGCATATGTATGGCTATGGCACTCCTCCTTGGCTACTTGAGTTGAGTGTTTCCTATCTGTTCCACTCATGTGCTCCAGCAGTTCTCTTACTATTTCCACATCATCAGACATGGAGGCAAGAGGGTTAAGACCAGAACACAGAAATGCACTTAAAATTAATTTGTAACCACAGATCATTGTGGTGTAAAATAGTAAATCAGGATTGTTATGTTACAGTTTTATAGGCAATGAACTCATTGTGTTTTTATAACATCTTAGAACTGATAAGAAAACTTGGAAAATTTCATACAAAATTCTTCTAAAACTGCCACCCCTAAGAAAAGGGGGCCAATTAGAAAAGATTACTTGTCACACTGAAAGAATCCATCATATCCTCTTGTTGCATCTCTTTTAAAATGTAATCCTCTTTTAAGGAAAAATTCCTGTAACCTGTTCCAGGTAATTATATTACCTGAAACTCATTATATCCAGGCTCTAGTTTCAATCGGCACCCCCCTCCCCGTTATCCTCCTACTCAGCCCTGGCTCCCAGTGGTAGAATAAAAACACGAGTGACTTCTTCACTAGCCTCCCACTCCTCCAAAGGAGCAGTCATGCTGGAGTCTCTTCCCTTCTCTAAAGACATTTGGGTTTCTAGCTAAGTAGCCCATGGGTTGCTACATCTGTTGTTAATTCTTCACAGGGGACAGCCTGCTCACTGGGCAGGAAAGGAAAGATCTATCACTCACTCAAGCATTCATTGAAGACCGTAATATTCTAAAGTAGATTCCTTTACCACAACCAGGAGGCTCAATGGTAAATCTTATCTATTGTTCAACATTGATACAATGGCATTAGACTGCATCTTTATTGAGGGTGAAATTCTCATTTTAAATTATCCAAATACTGCAGATGTTCTCTTAACTTTTTGATATATGATGACCCTTTCTGTGCAGAGGTCACTGTGCTACGCATGCACTTCATATGTATATTAAGGCTCCTTGGAGGGGGAGGAACTAGCGCTGACCCTACAGGAAATGATGTTACCACTTCTCCACAGCTGCTTCTGTTCCTTCAAGACATTTTATATATGGCACAAAACTGAAGAAAAGGTAGATGACATGGACAAGACCATAGTAGTTAGAATTTCAAAGAGATGACCATATTGCATTAGAAAACCAAAAGAGTCCTATGGCACTTAAAAATTTAAAATGTATTGCAATTTGAAATGTAATGGCCTATAGCTGTCGCCATTGTGTGCGTTGTTAATTCGTGAAAGTGCATGCTGTAATGCATTTGCTCAAGGATGGCCTATAATCCAAGCAGGATGGGCTGGTACATTTGTCAGCTGTACATTGAGAAAAGATTCATTGTTGTTTCTGCATACAATACAATCCTGTGCATGTCTGCTCTGGAATATATCCCACTGAGTTCAGTAGCTCTTAGTCCCCAATTACTATACACCAAATTAGAATCTCAATGGTAGAGAGAACAACAAAAGTATATTCCCATCCACTACACACACATAGAGACCTACGTCCAAGTACTAGACACATTGAATTAATTTCTTGATGGTAAAGCAACTGTTATGTAAGATCTGTTGATTCAGTGGTTTCACACTAGTAGTTGGATTCAGGCAATACAATTCAATTATCTCTTATATTTATAAGTGGTTGTAAAGAGATGGCAGTAAATCAATATTTTTGGAACTCTTCATAAAGAGAAAATGTGTCTCATTATATAATACCTTTCTGTCACCAATAGTTCACCACAACTGACCCTTGATATCTACAAACCAGGTGGAAAGGCTTCTATGTCAGAGACAGGCTGGCAGCAGAGGATGGGAATTCAGCCCTTGACATCTTTGACATGGAAGGCATGTGCTCTACCCACTAAAATAGGCTTCTCCCTAGATTTCTTCTGCAGCACAGATCTCTCCTCTTTTCACATCTCTTACAGATCATTTGTTAAAACCATAGAGGAAGAACTGAAGTCTTTTTTTTCCAAATTATTTCCTCTACTTTACAACATGTGTGTTATTTGGAGAGGGAAGAGAATGAGGCATTAAAGATACTAGATAGCTGCTTGAGTTAGTTCATGTAACTACTATGCAGAATACAGTTCTGTGGAGAGCCACAGCTGAATACAGTCTGACGAAAACAGAGGCATGAGCTGATTCAATGGTAGTGCACATCCAGATGTGAGAAAATTCTTTACTCATGCTTAAGTAAAAATAACAAGAGTGTGAACCAGCAAACATAGCAAGGCAGCCAGGAAATCAATAATCCAGTGAAAAGAATAAGAGCAGGATCTAGCTCTAATTAAGTACTTTTCTCCCATTAAGATAGCTATTAATTCAGATCAAGTTTTGTAGCAAGGATTATTTGAGTGAAGGATTGTAGTTTTTTTCCATCTGTTTTCCCCCCAGTCTTTTAGCCACAACAAAATTTCTGTGATACGAATGAGGCAGAATTAATGGTGTGCACAAGACTCCCAGTTACCAATGGGATTCAAACATATTCAACTTCCAATGAAACAGTGTATTTTAAAATGAAAATACCTGAAACTGAACAATTTCCCCAAGAATTTAAAGTTATCCCCTGTTTCTCCAAGATAGTATTTTAAAAAAACCCAACAAAGATTAAAACCCTTACATTCATTTCAGATAAAAATCTTATATCACCACATTGTGCTTTTTCCCCAAAAAATAAAAAGAACCCCTAACATTATAGAAAATCCCAGTACATGCTCTTTACAACTTTAAAGAGAGAAAATGAAGTGAAGCAGAATAAAGTATAAAGCATGCCACTGGTTCATGAACTTCATAATACAAGAAAGAAAAAGGAAAAAAAATCACAGCAACAGACAGTTGCCATAGAAATATTCAAGCAGCCAATGCTTGTTTACAAGAGATATCTCTCTATTGTTTTTTTCTTCAATCACTTCCTAAGGATGGCAAACCAAAAACCAATTGAGCAAAAAGGAAGAATAGATGAATTTGAATTGGAAATCAAATTCTGTATTTTAAAAGATACGGCTTCTAATACTATTTGATCCACCCTGTTATTATTATTTGTTTTCCTGTTTAGGTTACATCCCTGCTGTAGCTGTATTCTTTTTTAAACTTAATTTTCACCCTGGAAAAATTAAGATAAAAAGTAAGGCACCAAAGAAACGCTGCCCTTTATAGCACTAAACCACCATAAGGCTAATTCATTTCTGCAGCTTAGATGAAAACTGTACATGTGCTGGAACTGTACAGTATATGGTATTTCTGATTAAAATTCCATAGAAAGGTGTTATTGCACCCTATTTGTTAAAGTAGACAAATATTTTGGACAGCACGGTGTAGGTTTATTCTTCTAAACTATATGCAGTCTTTCTCATAGCCATTATTGTTGGGCAAAAAGTATCCTTTCCCCATGTGCTGGTAACAATTTGCTTATCAAATATATAATTAATTGATAAGCATAAAGGAGATTCCTCTTAAATCATGTCAGACTCCCTAGGGAAACGGTACTTCAAAAGGGTTATGTTTTCTCCATCTGATTTATTGGTTCTTTCAGCAACAAAAGCTAAAATATACTCATACATCGCATTTAAACTGTGCTCTTTGTGAAGATTTCATATCTTTATAAATAGTTCTGTGATGCAGACCATACATACACTTTGATGCAATCTGCTCCAACGTCATTGAAACTATCCATGAAGCTTATGACATGATTGTATTGGTTGTATAAAAGTATTAAGAAAATCCATCCACAACAACATTTTTGTTCGATGAATTCAACATGCTGTGCGTATTTCAGAAATGCAAATATGTAGAAGTTTCAAATTTTACTTCCTTTACTGCAACATATTTTGCTGCCTGGTAAGCACTCCTTTTTCCGTAAGGATTTCTTCCAAGATTCATTCATGTTGCTCTTGTCACCATGCCCTGTCTCAAAATAATCATAGTATTTGCTTTTACATTCACTGCCATGCTCACTTTTCATCAGTTCCCAGTCTAAAGCAGAGTCTCGCTCCACTTCATGACCTCCTTTCTCGCTGCTTAACATTGTCTTATCCTGATGTGGACCGGCATTAGTAATGAAAATTTCATTGGCATGTATTTGATCATCATTTCTATAAACAGGGGCACTGCTGACACCATATCCTATGGGTTGGGAACAACTTGGCAAAGATATAGAAGAAGAAGAGGATGAAGCAGAGTTGGAGGCAGAGGCAGAGGATGGACTTGCAGAATTCGCAGATAACGGTAAACCTAAGTAATGGCTGCCACATTCTTGATAAAAGCAGCATGTGTGGGTCTTTTCACCGTCCTCCCGTGCCATCCGGAGCCGTTTCCTATAAGGGCAGTCGTGGGACACGAACCACTCTTGGGCTGCAGCACTGCCAAAAGAGCAAGTTGGGAAACACCAGTTGTTTTGCATGATAATTTCCCCATGAATTCTCTTCATTAAATTATTTATAAGGACAGATCTCCTCAAGTAGACTTCAGGGTCATCAATGTACTTCAGTTTCTCTAGTGACATGTACAGGATATGCGCCCGCTCCTCAAAGACGGAGATTGTCTGTAAATGACACAAAGAAAAGATAACAACGAAGATTAGCGTGGTGGAGTCTATTTGAAAAGCAGTGTTGAGATTCCATTTGCCTGGCCAGCGTTTAGCTCTTGGGCCAGCCACATTTCCTTCAAGACTCCCAGACTGTCATTATTCCTCTCAGTCTATTAATAATCCACCACCCTCAAGCCCATCCAGTGACAGGGTGGTTTGTTGGCTAGTATGCTTGTTATTCTACCACAGAACGACTTCCTTCATCCTGGAAAGCTAGTTGGCAGCCAACATCTGAAGGAAACTAGTGTTTGAATGTTTACTTTTTTCCATTAACTGGGCCAGCAGTGAAGAATCTTCATGAGTCAAACTGCCTCACTGTGCAGAACAGTAAATGCCAAAAGGGGGTGGGTGGGAAATTCTAAATCCTACAAAGGAAGATTAGGGTTCTTTGAACACTACTTCACTGCATAACTGTTATTAAAAAGATGGGATAGATATAGTTAATAAATGAATAACATTTGAAAATGTGGGGTCTTTTCCTGCTTTCTGAAATTAGTCCCAGCTTTACTTTGCTCTTCAGGTAAAATCAGTCCAGAAATAGCCGGGAAATGGAAGGTGATATCTCTTTTTTTGTAATTTATGAAGTGGACTGAGGAACAGGAGGATTTTGTGACATGCAGAGAACTCAAAGATGAAGGAGAGGGTTCCCACTTAAAAGCCCTGAACACACAAATATAATCTGATTTCAGACACTAAGCAGGGTTGGCCTCATTAGTACTCGGAAGGGAGACCATCAAGGAAGAGCAGGGATCTCCAGGTAATGCTATTGAATCTGAAACTCAATAGTGGGTTAAATGGTCCACTGATGTTTTACAGTATAAAGCAGTTTCCTATGTATCTGTATCCTGTATTTGTTATGTTATGTGCCATCAAATCAGAACTGACTTATAGTGATCCTAATAGGGCTTTCAAGGTTAGTAAGATATTTAAATTGAAGTACTGTATTATTAGTTCCATACCCCTGGTGAGCTTCCACAGCTCAGTGGGATTTGAACCCAGATCTTCCAAGTCCTAGTCCACTCTATCCTACTACACCAGGCTGAACATCTATATCCTATGTTTCTTTCCACAAATCCAGCCTTAGCACAATTCCTCTTTTCTTCCTTTTCATCACGTTAGGATAAGCCAAACCATAAATATATGTGGTATGATATGGTCAGTTACTCCTATCTATGTCTGTTTTTATTGTCCTCTTTTCTCTTGTCACAGAATTATGACACGGGGGGGGATCTTTTTTTATGTAGACAATGAGGAAAGTGTCCAACTGCCCAATTTTCTATGAACATCCTGCCTCTCTCAAACCAACACAACAACCTTCCAGCAAAACCCTTCTTCTGCACGTCTTAACACATTCCTCGTGCCTTGTAAATTATTCTCAGGCTTTGCTCTCATCCTATTTTGTAACAGAACGTGTTTTTAATACTAACAAGCATCTATTTCTAGGAAAACTATGAAAATACCCAAAAATAGCATACTGTAACTCATACAAGATTAAATAATTTCATGCACCCATTTTAAAAAAATAAGCATGTGCTTCTGTAAAAGAAGCTCATTGTATAGACTCTGTGTATAAAGCAATTTTAAAAAGACAATCTTCCACTCCAAGATCTCTGGTTCAATTGCAGTCAGTGTTGCCTGAAACTGGCAACCAATAAGTATCTGTCAGGCTGGTCAGTGCTTTCTGTGAACACTGTCTCCTGGTCTCTGTCCAGTTCCCAGTGGGAAACTATCTACTTTACAAAAAACACCATCACATTTGGCAAACTTACTCAGCAAAAGGGTCATGATGCAGGTGAACCATACAGCCTTACATTCCCTGGGGCCTCAAGCTTGATTTTCCAGATGCCCAGGCAATCTGGCAGTAGTTGTATGCATCTATTATCTGTGTTATCAAAGGCTGAAATACATATCTCAATCATAACCATCTCAAATTGTTAAACTTGTATTTACTTCATAATGGGTTGGGACAGAGAAAGCGGAAGCCAGCCTTCTCCACCTGTCATCATCCCTGACCATCCCTGGCAACTGGAACTGATGAGAAATGTAGGCAAAAGCAGTCACAGAAAGTTAAACGAAGGCTAACACCGATAGGTAACTACACCTGCACAGCAGGTACTCAACAAAACACAGTGCTACATGTACAGATATCTATTATAACTTAATGCCTGAAATACTGTTCCACTTGGCATACTATAAAGGTATGACTGCGGATATTTACAGGACGTTACACCCAGACAATATCTGTGTCTTACTGTGCAATGAACCATGCAATGGACCATGCAATTGACGGTGAACTGACCACACAGCTGACCACTGAACTGCATCCACAGAACTGCTTCTTGGATTAAAAAGTAAAAGCAGGACAAAAGTAAAGTTTGCTGCCTATATACCGCCCTACTGCGCTCAAAACTCTCTCTGACCGGTTTACAATTTTTAATTATGCAGGATACACATCCCACCCTGCGCAGCAAGCTGGGTACTCATTTTACCAACCATGGAAGGATGGAAGACTGAGTGAACCTCAATGGCTACTTGGGATTGAACTTGGGTCATGAGCAGAGTTTTGGTTGTAGCACTGCAGCTTAACCGCTGTGGTTCATAAGACTTCAGCTTTAATACACATTTCACAACAGCTTGCACAACTTCAAGTTACACAGGCATAGCTACACAACAGGATTTCAGCAAGAAAGATCTTCAGTGAGAGCATTGTCAAGGTTTGAAACCTTGTATGCTTAAGAATGTTAGAAAAACTGGGAGGTTGCAGAAATATTTCCCATGAAGTGAACATAATTTTAAGATTTGCAGCTTTCTGTAGCTGTCTTGATGGGAAGTTCTTTTCCCAGAACTTTCTTCATCTATTTTACAGTATCACAAACACAGAGAGATTGAAGTGCTGTCCTCTGAAGATGCTGGCCACAGAGACTGGCGAAACGTTAGGAAGAACAACCTTCAGAACACGGCCAAAGAGTTCGGAAAAACCCACAACAGCCATCTTTAGCTTCACTTAGACCTAGCATTTCAAAAGTTAAAAGAAGAATTATGGACACTGAGTTTAAAGAATTAGGAAGCGCAGTTGATAAGACTCGTTCCCCATTGTCTCTCCACATCCCCTTTAAAATGGGAAAACCAGCTGCTTTCCTCATGCTGCTTAAATGTCCACAAACCACAGGGCTTTTTCTCTGGCCAGATGTAATGTCATGTCTGGTGCTGTATCGTATGATAGGTATAAGAGAACCCCTTATCGCTAAAGATATTGTCCATGTGAGCAGGGTGCTTTGGAAACTCTAACTCACATGCTCTTGCACTGTCTGCTTCATCAGGATTGCCGCAAAAAACATATCACCTCAATATTATTAAATCAGGAAGGAAAATCCAATCTCAACAAGGTCCATTTTATGTATCAGTGGAGGTGGTCGACATTGTGGAACAAGTAGCTGTTTTCCTTGGGTCAATTGTTAGGAGGCGAAGCCCTGCTCCCCATGAATCCAGAAATCTAACAAACTAGTTTGACTATATTTTATATGCCAATAAAGGGTTTAAAAAATTTATTTATTCATAAGTCTTCTGGAATTCTTCTTATCTTGTCTTGATTTAAAATGAGGGGTTAGAGATTCTAACGTCTGATCATTGCCCCGAGAGGTCACTAATTTATAAGATCTCCAAAAGACAGAAGTGACTATATGGCACATAACAACAAAACAAGACAGCTGATTTAGGTTTAGGTATCTGAGGAACCAAAGGTTTGCAGTTCATTTCCCCACTCTGCCTTTGGGGAGAAGAGCCAGCCTGTGTGGCCTTAAATGCCCCCAGAAGAAGGGAAGGGTAAATCACTCCTGAGTATTCTCCAAAAAGGATTGCCATAAGTCAGAATTGACTTGATGGCACACAGTTGTTGTTGTTGTTGTCGTCGTCATCATCATCATCTTATTTTTTTCTAAAATTAATTGTCTTAATTGATATAGTAATTGTATTTTTAATGATTATATATATTTTATATTGATTTTTATGTTGTGAGCTGCCCCGAGTAGACATGGTCTAGAGGGGCGGGGTATAAATTTAATAAATAAATAAATAAATAAATAAATATCATCATCATCATTAATACTACTACTACTACTACTAATAATAATAATAATAATGCTAATGCTAATACTAAAACTAATAATAATAATAATAATAACAACAACAATAAATATACTTTTTTATAGATGGGAAACGTAGCTTTCTGGCCATGCTGGTTGGTGAGCCGGGTCAAAAAAAATTACTTTTCCATTCAAGCTCTGGTGCTTCCTCATTACTGGAGGTGCACTTATTGGAATATAATCAAAGGATTATACTTATTATTATTACTTTTTCTTGTCCTTTTCCAGCTATGGGGAGGGATGTTACTTCCTAGTATTGCAAATGAAGATGATTTTGCTACAATAATAATAAGACATATCACAGTTTGGTTGTTAATTGTGACATATCAAAGGAAACATGCTTCCAGTCTCACAAATTACTTTTTTGGATGAATATGTAAGACCCCTAGCCAGAGCCAGGAAGCTTACGTGGGAGTATTGTCACTCCTAACCCGGGCTCAGGCGACTCAGACTTCCCCTCCACCTTCTCCACGTAGGAAAGAGAGCAAGCAGGTGGATACCAAGGAACTGGAGGAAATAACAGGAGAAGAGGGGCGGGAATACAAAGGGGTGGATACCAGTGACTTGGTACAGGCACTGAGAGAGTTAAAAGTGCCAGAGAAGACCGGGAGAAATCTGGCGGGAAAAGTGGAAGGGGAAATAGAGGCAGGAGCGGGGGATATAAAAAGAAAGCGGGATGAGATCCCGGGGGGTTGGGAGATGGTATGGGTCCAAGACCCATGGACAGGAAAATGGGAACAAGTGAAGGTTCCCCATGAGGAGGTAGAAAGAAAAAGGTGTCAGGGACAACAGCCCCATCCGTCTTATTGGGGGGGAGACCGAAGCCAAAGAGTGGCGGCGGCGCCTGAAAGAAGAGAGAGAAGCCATGGCAAGAGAGCTGGAGGTGAAAAAGGCATGGCATCTCGCAGAGCTCCAGAAGATGGGGGTCTACCCGGACCGGGGTTGGCCAGCCCGGGAGAGGGCTCCCCACTCTGGGGTTGGAGCGGGGATGAGGAGACCCTTCCACTATTAGAACTGGAGATGGAAGACGACGGAGAACCGGTGCCAGAGAAGGTGTTATCTGGGTGGTGGGCGATGGACGAAACCAACCCATTTGTTAGTAATGTTTGAACTCCTTTACGGTCGAACTTTAGACCACAGGAGAATCTAGAGACTGTTCCAGTAGAAGTTCCAGTTAATGTTGACTTGTTAATAAATGAAGACAAAGTTGAACCGTTAAACGAATCTCGTGCTTTATTGACTGTGACTGCCCCCCCCAACACTGAACCCTCACAGAATACTCATTGATTTTCCCAGACACCATATGCAGTGAGCATGCTAGTTGTAGGATTCTGGGAACTACAGTCCCAGAAAAGTGACTTTTCCAAGGTCTCCCAATCTCATAGTGCAAGGAGATGCTTATGTGGAGCTTGTTAAGGCTGAAGTAGGTGTATCATGTCTGAGCTGTGTTCAAAGTGTGGAATCCAAAATCCGGTGTAATTTTTTATCAAATACATTTATTTATTTATTGATTGATTGATTGATTGATTGATTGATTGATTGATTTGATTTGTACCCCACCTATCTGGACCAATGGACCAATGGATACACTTCCTCATTTGTTAAAACAGGACAAAACTTTATTCTCTTCATTGATTGCAATAAATGTTTCAAATGCAGCCGCTTTATTTAGCATACCACCTAAACAGGGTACAACTGATTACATTTTAAAAAAAGAAAATACAGTAATTGATATTATAGGAAATGAAATATGACCATCATCTGGACAAAGTATTTTCAAATTAATGCAGATTCGTATCAGAAATATCTTAATGGCGTTCTTCAAACTTACTTTAGGTGTACAACTGCTGAGTGGTGGGTGAATATCTTCTTCTTCCACATACTTCCTTTTAAAATACGTGATCTTGGATGTTGCTATAGGATTTGAAACTCCTCTGTGGTGTAAGCCTGTGAAAAATAAATTACATACAGTGAGTAATGTATAGTCTATCTGAGGTGCCTAAAAAAAATACTTATTTAATTCCTGACTGCTTCAGAACTCTGCTTCATATTTTCCTACATATAAATTTTGTATCAACAAAGCAAAGACTTACTGCATGTTAAGAATTTCTGCTTTACTGGAGTTGCTAGGAAGGCTTCTGAGAAATTGCTAATCCTCCTCCTTAGAAATAGGGTACTGTGTTGTCAAGAGGTGAGCAACTTGAAAATACTTAATAAAAATTGATTTATCATTTAATAATACAACTTCTTGAAGAAGAGGAGGAGGAGCAACAAAACAATAAGAAGAAAATGAAGATGCAAAAAGACGATGCAGGTTTACAATACATTATGAGTCACTGGCATTAAAAATATGCTGGCAAGATGATCTATGAGGTCTCCAAAGAAAGACTGGTGAACTGAAGCATTTTCACCACAGTAATAGAATTACTTGAGAGATGGAGAAGTGGAGAAATGTATTATTCAAGGTCAGAGAAGTATTTAAAATTTTGCATATCTATTACTCACTGAAATCCATTAGTAAGTTGTACCTAAAGTAGGCCCACTGAATCATTAGACATTTAGTGATGCAGTTCCTCCATAAGATCCATTGATTCAACTGTAGTTGTGACTTACTACTAAATTTTTCATTTTTTATTTCCGGAAAAATTAATTATGACACTACATTTACACTGTGCATAAATTTATGTACAGTATAAATGAATAATTTAATGTTTTAATCAAGATTAAAGGGACATAAATTAGGATTAACAATGGGTAATGTCTATACATGAATGTTTGTGTTGGTTATTTTTTGAACGAGGTAGCTTTTGGAGGGAAGCTCACTAGGCCTAAGAATCTGTCAAGCTGAGCAGCCTATTCAGAGATACATGGGAACCTTGGAGCTTAGATTACAGCTCTTAGTCATTTTAGAAACAGAAAAAATAAATACAGTGTGCCTCGCTTAACAAGCGCACCGTTTAACGATGAATCCGCATAGTGATGTCGCTTTTGCAATCACAAAAGCGATCGCATTGCGACATTTAGACAGGCAAAAACTCGCATTGCGATGATCGGTACAGGCAAAAACTCGCATTGTGATGTTTTTACAACAGCTGATCAGCGGTTCCAAAATGGCCACCGAGTGCCCAAAATGGCCCCCGCAAGTGTTTTCGCGCCTTGCTCTCACCGACGGCACGAAAATGGCGGCACTATGGAGGAACTCTCACTTACCGACGGCACGAAAATGGCGGCGCTATGGAGGAACTTCGCTGAACGGTGAGTTTGGGCCCCATAGGAACGCATTAAACTAAGTTTAATGCGTTCCTATGGGGTTTTTCAATCCGTTTAGTGATGTTTTTGCATAGCGACAATTAATCCGGAACGGATTAATGTCGCTATGTGGGGCACCACTGTACATGTTAAGAAAATGCAACCCTGTTTCCCCAAAAATAAGACCTAACCTGAAAATAAGCCATAGTATGATTTTTAGGATGCTCGAAATATACCATATTTTTCCATGTATAAGATGCCTCCCTGTATAAGACGACCCCAACTTTTCTAACCCAAAATTAAGAAATCTAAGTTGGGCTTAGCAAGTGTAGGGGGAAAGAGATCAAAGCACTGCCGGATCGCTTTGATCCCTGCTTTGCCCTCCACTTGTTTTCTCTCTCCTCAGCTTACTTCCATGTACAAGACGACCCTCAATTTTTAGTCTAAAGATTTTAGACAAAAGTATAGTTTTATACATGGAAAACTATGGTAAGCCCTATCCCAAAATTAAGTCCCAGTTAATTGAAAGGCCGCCCTCCTCCACTGTGCAGCAACCAGAAGATGACATAACTGTATTTGAATAAATGTAGATTGTTATACATGAAGAAAATAAAACATCCCCTGAAAATAAGCCCTAATACGTTCTTTGGAGCAAAAATTAATATAAGACCCTGTCTTATTTTCGGGCAAACATGGTACTTCCTGTTTAAACTATGAAGATCATGAAATCTTTCATAGTGTCTTTTATAAGAACAAGAAATATTTTCATTTATTTATGTAACATTTATTTTTATGTGACATCATAATGACCAAACTCCTATTGTGTAGCCCCGCTGTGCAGCAGGAATAATGTCAGCAGTAAATGCCACTAATTAAAGAGCCCCTGCTATGATTTCAGGTTGTGCAGAACTTCATCTGATGGAACATGAGTCTCACACAACCCAAAACTGAAGCAGGGATTCTTTAGTTAATGGCAATCTGCCTTTGCTAGTGATGTCTTCTTTCCTGTTATGTGAGCAAAGCTACAGGATACTAACCAAGAAAAATGAAAGGAAACAGATAAAATGAATCCTCTCCCCAATTCTTGTAAATGCAAAAGCAAAGACTGAGAAAATTAAACAACCATCTGTCAGATATACAGTACTTTGATTCAGACTTCTACACTGAGTAGGGGGGTAGAGTCTATGAACCTATCTACAAGGTTCATGTATGAGTCTATTAACCTATCTCCAACAATTTCTGAACAATCTTTTGTTTGAAATGTGTGAATGTGTCATGTGCTGTCAAGTCAATTCTAACTTATGGTGACTCTTTTCAGGGTTTTCCAGATATAGAGTGGACAGAAGTGGTTTCCCATTCCCTTCTTTTGGGGTCACCCTGGGACTGTATAGCTTGCCCAAGGCTGCACAGGCTAGCTCTACTTGTAGGAGGCAAAGTGGAGAACCAAACTCCCAACCTCTGGCTCTGCAGCCAGATACTTAAACCACTGAGCTACTGGTTGGTTAAATGGCAGGCAAGGCCTTTTGGTTGGGTTCCTAATAGTGAACCTTTCAAAGAAAAGAATAACTGGGATAAATCCAGTTGTTAGTCCCAACTGGAACAGACCTGCTGAATCAATGAGGCCTGTTGAATCAACATTGTTCCATTGATTCAACTGTTGCAACTCCCTCTCATTGGTCCCAATTTGTTTTCATGATCATTTACACTAGTGTAAGTGCAATGTCATCAACTGTGGAGCAAGTCAGTGCATGACTTGAGGAATACAAGTAGTGACTCATTAACTGGCACATGCCATGGCCCTCATGTCAGCATAAATAACCCATAGAATTCTGTCCATAGTTAGTTACTTCTAACTAGATTATATTCTAACGAAGTTAGCTGTTTATAATTTATGTAACAACAAAAAATATGCTTGATAAAATTATAGCAGATATTCTTGACAACTATATATTTTTGTGGAGGAGAGGGAAAGCTGTGCAGTAGTTACTTTTCTGAATTCTTGGAGCAGATAATGAAGGCATAGACATGGCTATTCTATGGATGTTGTAAGAAGGAATTTGTAAGTGGGGAATCACTGCTCTCTAAATTGTGCTGGGCTTGCAGAGACAAGGGCAGTAAACTGTGGTGGAAAAACTCCTTCACACCCTGCCAGTTTTCTTCCTTGTCTTTAAGCTATTCTTTTCCATTAGTTTCAATTGGGGGGGGGGGAACTATGCTAGTGACAGCACTGGCATTCTTCCTCTGATCTAAGACTTCTCCAGTCTGCTTCTGATGTGGTTTTTTTTGGAATGTTTCCTTTTTAGCTCTTTCTGTTTCAGAAGCACCACCTGCAGTGCGACCATGGACCACAGAATCATGACTACTGCAGTGGAGTTCCTTTTCCACAGATGGACCTCACGCTCTGCTCAGGGGGAGGGGCCTGCAATATCCTATGGCTTGGATGCCCTGCTGAAGACCGCAGGGTTGGAACCTAAGCAGGTTTCTGCCTGCGTGAATGTCAGTGCCACATTAACTAATCTAGGGAGTGATTACCAATGATTTAGAAAAAACTGGCTAAGCATGTGTACAGTTTTGTCCCTGGCATTCCAAGTGTCACAACCTTCTCATTAGAGATCATACAGCACACTTCCGTCATTTCTCCTGACAAGAAAGAACACTGGCCTTGTGGGAAGAGCAAAACTTATTTGTAATTTATTTACACAATTTGCTATAAACCATTTTCAGCTGCTGTTCTTTATTCTTATTTGAAAGGAAGTGATTTGGAACAGGTAACCAAAAATGTAATTACTCTGAACTCTTTGGAGACCATTGGGCACTGAAATCTAGCCTGGGTCACAGTGCTCCAATCAAACCATATGCTACCACAGAGAGTGAAATTTTAATTATTGTCTAACATTTAATATGGCCACCTGTTCAAGGTTTATTGCATTCCCACCCCCAGTGCTAATTTAAACCTCCAATAAATAATACACGAAACAGACTGGGTGGTAGAAACCTGCTTTTGAGACAGGATACTGTAAATTTGAGTCCCAGAACTTATTTCTGGTGGTGTGTGTACTCAGCCTAACATGTGAAGTAATTTAATCATTCATATAATTCTAAAATGTTGTGCTTTCCCCTAGCCATCAAGACACTTGTGGTGGCTAAAGACAAAGTATTCAAATATGGAAGCAGCTAAGAATATTTTTAAAATCCCATAGATCAGTAGCAAGTACCTGACAACTATTTGTTTTCATGTTAAGTTCCTTTCATATAAGGTTTTTCAAAAATACATATAAAATCAGGTCTTTTTAAACTGATAAAAGAATGAATTGCTAAGCAAAGAGTACTTTTAAAGGTATCTCTCTCATTGACTAACTACAACCAGGCCACACAAATTTTGCGGTCAGAAATATATAAAAGCCAAGACTCTGTCTCCCAAAAGACAGGCATTGGTCCAGTTCAGTTGATTACTCAAATGGGATAAGCAATGTGTTGCCTGATTGCAATATGTGGCCTACAGCCTGTATTGTATGTGGGAAAGCAGAAGGAGAGAGATGGATTGGTGGTGAGGTGGAGGGAAATAATTAGTTCCACACTATATCTTAATTTGTGTAAGTGTGACTTTTCTTAAACAAATTTAAATAAACTAGAATATGAAATCTGATCGTTGTTTTAAGTACTTTTAATTAGAACAAACCACAGTTCTATGAATTCCACTAGAATACAGTGCTGTGGCTTGTATTAAAGATAAAAGCAATACTCTTCTTGTAAAGCTTTCTGGAAGTCAAAGCCATTCCCCCTGAAGATCAAAGGAAATTTGCTCTTGCGCTGATGGGCTTCTTATTGGAACTCAGTGAATGGGAAGGACACGATGGTCAGAATCCTTTCCGCACAGCTCTGTGGGTTTAAGGCTGGCAACAACATCAGCCACAGCCTTTTATCTTTATTAAACAGTGCCCTGTTCCCACTGCTACCCCACCCTGATTCCAAGTCTCTCTAGAGATCACTTTCAACCTGGGCACGATTTTGAGGGTTTGGGGACAGAGGGGAAGCTCTTAATGTCCAAAAAATCCACCAGGAGCAAAACTACTGACAGTGATTTTCAGACATTTAAATCTCCGTTCCCACACCAAGGACTCCAAAGTGTTGCCCAGGTTGAAATGGATTATTTATTTATTTTTCTACCTATATACCACCCCACGGCACAAAGAACTCTCTGGGTGGTTCACAGCAAAGCATACAAACAATAAAGAACAAGGCAGTGCAACATACAAATACATGTCAACAAATAATAAAATCAAATAAATTAGTAAGGAACCTGGGGGGCAAGGTAATTAAAGATAAAAGTCCACGACTGATGATGTCATCAGCCTTACACTCATGGAGCTGTGCTGGCATAGTTCCAGCCTTTCTCTCTTCCTCTCTCTCCATATATACAGTATATATACATACATAGATACTGTACTAAAGGACTGTAAATACAGAGAACTAGCTCCCAGATAAAGTAGCAATATTCGTTGGAAAATACAAGTTCAGAGCACATGTAACAACTCATGTGATTAAAACCTCCTCTACACAAAAAGAAAATCACCCCATAAGGAAATATGTCAGGAATATGTTTTCCCCACATAAGGGGTGGTGGTGGAAGGGGTTACAGTCTTCTGCCTGGCTTCAGGTTTTATAGGTATGTGTGACTTGACAACAAATAACAAACAAAAACATTACAGAATAATTTTAAAAACTGCTCTGAAATGGAACGTTACAGAGGATATTCTGAGATAGCATAACAGTCACCAGACTACCAACATAGTTCCCTTTGTTTCTACTTGCAATGGCAGTGCAAAAAAATTAAAAAAATCCAGGGCGTGGGGAGAGAAACTCTGCTACAACCACTGCTAATGTTGGACCCCACATTTCAGAAACTTTTGGACAATTTCTTCTTCTCTTGAAGAAATTATCCTCCCAAATTCTCTGTGAAAAAATAGGTGAAGAATTTCAAGAGGTCATCTGAACACTACTCTGTTCATTATTTATTTATTTATTTATTTATTTATTTATTTATTTGTTTGTTTGTTTGTTTGTTTGTTTGTTTGATTGATTTATATCTTTGTTTGTTTGTTTGTTTGTTTGTTTGTTTGATTGATTTATATCCCGCCCATCTGGTAAGTCAATACCACTCTAAGCGGCTAATTATTGTTACTTCATACAGATCAAGGCTCATTTATACCATACAAAATAACATCCAGAAGGGACTAAGTCTTCCCACGTAGCTGTCATTTTTCAACACTGACCAGTGAAAAGCATGTCCTTTCTCTGAAGCTTGATTTAAGTCAGGGCACATGGGAACTAAGTCCCAGCATGAATTTTCACCACTACAGCTCATTAAAATCTTAACAATGAAGAAAGTGTTCTGAACATGTTGTGCAAAATAAACAAACCATTAGACCTAGGCAGAGCAATCTGAAGAGGGCGGAAGAAGGAAAATCCTTGGCAGAAGACTCTGATGACTGTCCTCAGTGTGTATACATGGACACACATTCCCTTTGCTATTATTGGAACACCAGTGGTTTTGACAAAATTCCCACACTCATATGGAAGATGCATCAGAGGGTACATCCTCCTGTCTTCAGGTAGACAAAAGAGCTGTATATTTCTATGATCCCCTGGGGTGCTTCCCCAGGATCACAGGATTGCAGCCTAAAGCAATCTGCTAGCTGATTTTAAAAAAAGGCTTAAGAAGAGAGGTGCAACCCCTGCACACAACTTCTTTCAAAACACCAGCAGCCCCTCTTCCAATGGCCCCAAGCTACTACGGCTAGTTGCAGCTTCCCTGTAAACAAATCCATGTACTTTTAAGTTTCAGAGTCTGGGAAGAAACTACCCCCAAACCCCCCCCCCCAAAAGGCAGGGCTAGTGACTTCACCCTCTGATAATGCATTCCAGAAAAAATTCTTCTTAACTATGCAAGTCCCTTGATCATAGATAATTTATAAACACAGCAGGGGAAGTCACCCTGCTCCCAAAATCATGGGGGCCAGTGACTGGCCATCATTAACTGGACAATACTGGCCAGTCAACCCTGAGTGCTCACTGGAAGGACAGATCGTTAATCTGAGGCTCCAATACTTTGACCATCTCACGAGAAGACTCCCTGGCAAAGACCCTGATGTTGGGAAAGTGTGAAGGTAAGAGGAGAAGGGGACGACAGAGGATGAGATGGATGGGCAGTGTCATTGAAGCTACCAACATGAATTTGACCAAACTCCAAAGAGGCAGTGGAAGACAGGAGGGCCTGGCCTGCTTTGGTGCATGGGGTCACATAGAATCGGACACGACTTAATGACTAAACAACACAACTGGCCAATTACTCTTCTGAAACTCATTTTGTGACCTTGAGTTAGACACAAGTGTTGAATTAGCCAAGTGTAATCTATCTTGAAAGGCTGTGAAGGTAAAAAGGAAGATGAAGGCAGTAGCAAACACAAGCAGAGTAGCCCTGTTGGCATTAACACAGACTTCAAATTCTGTGTTACCGGGGAAAATGCCTTTAATAGGCCAACCAAGGATGCAAGGCTCCGAGATCACAGACTACTTCTTCTGGCAATATGCTACAAAGGGGCTGGTGACGGCACCTTGATTAGACGCGGTACCCGTTGTCGAAGATATTGGCGCCCCACCGCGGGATCTCCCATTCATGAACAACATTACCTGCCGCTGGGGACTGCCCGGCCGATGCCCTGCCTTCGCAGCCGTGAGGCGGCGGCTGCTGCTGCTGAGCCTGGCCCTGGCTGCTGCTGCTGCTGCTGCTGGCGGCGGCGGCGACATCCGAGGCGGGGCTGCTCTTGCTGCAACAGCGCGACTCCCACAGCGCTTGGAACTCTCCGGCTCCTTCGGAAGAGACAATGGGCTCGCAGAAGCTGCTCAGGGGCAGCACCAGAGTCATCGCTGCGCCTCCGATCTGCACCGGGAGACAAAGATAGCGCGGCGGCCCGTCAGGTCAGGCGCCCACCCCCACCCCTCCGTCCGCCCCCAAGCCCTGCCCTGCCCTGCCCTGCCCGCAGCGGCCATGGCGTGCCCGTGCGCCGCAGTGAAGGCTGGCATTCCGCGCGCTCTCGCTCCCGCCTCCGAACCAAGGCGGCCGCCGAGGCGTCAATTCCTCCCAGCTTCTGGCTCCTCTTTCCCTGGCCCGCTGCCCGAGTCCTCTCCCGCTCGCCCGGGGTCGCTTCGCCCAGTGAAGCTCAGAGCACGCTTTATGTCGCCTTCGTGTCCCCCGATTCCCCCCCCTCAAAACAAATCACCTTTTGCCACCCCCCGTGAAGAAACGACTCCTGTAAACATGAAAGAGACCCAGTCCAAGAACTGACCCTCGCGCACCCCCGCCCGCGTCCCCCAAAATTGGCTTAGGGAGGAAAGCGCCGCCGATCTCCCGTGATACTTACTTCCAGGAAAGCGTGCTTAGGATCGCTGCCCTTCCTCTAAGAAAGGCAGCACTTTCCTATTGACTGGCTGGCCAGCCCCAAAATCCCAACTCTTCTCTTAATTCAGAGTCGCTCTTTCTTCATTTTCTGAGAAAGCAAGCAAGCTGTAAATCCAAACAAACCGATCCCAGCGATGCTCCCAGGTTGCAAGAGGATCACTTCATTCTCTCCACCTAGAGCGACCTCAGCAACGACATTGTATGCGTGCCTCTTATGTGTGGCTGGCTGGCTGGCTGTTCCCTCAGCCACTCTCTCTCAGACTCCCTCTTCACTTCCCTCCTCCTTTCTTTACCTCCCCAAGCGAAACAGAGCACGACTCTTAGGTAGTTGTTTCCACCAGCCCCGGTTGGGCTGAACTGGATCTGCCTCCAGTCAAAACACTGAGATTAAGACAGAAAATTGGCTCCGGTTTCAAGCCGTGAGTTGCAGTCCCACAGGAGCCAAGCACAACATCAGTGGAGCAAGCAGAATATTAAACAGGAGCAGGGACTCCCGGCCGGAGCCAGGCGATGTGAGCTATGATGATTTTTTTTGGGGGGGGGGGGGGTCACGACCAGTAAACCAATTTTGAAAAGGACAGGCAGGCAAACCACATTACAATAACACTTTCTACAGTAATTCACCTACTCCTTGTCACATAAACCAGATGCCTCCTCTGTTTTTCCCTGTGCTCTTCAAGAAACAAGAAATCCGTTTCCTTTTAAAGATTTCACATATTTCTAAATTCAGTGCCACTACAAAACAGCCATCCATCCTTCTCAAGTGAGGGGGAGCGCAAGATGGCAAGGGAAGGGAAGGGGAGGGGAGAGCCAGCAGTATGTTAAGAATTAAAGCCTGTCTGGACAAGATTGATGAAACAGGAGGGTTAAGAAGACTAAGAACAATAATAAATAAGGAATATTTAGGGCCTCTGGTCGGTGTTCAAATGTCTGGAGAATCTCTCTCTTGTTGGGAGGTAGGGTTGGCTGCATTTACTTATGTGCATAGGACTGGGGTTAGAATCATGCAGCCAGTGTGTGATTGCTTTCCAAAGTGTCCAGATGCAAATGGCAAACAGATCAAGCCTTAGAATATTTCCACTGGCTTCAGGATGAAAAATGTTATACAGACCACTTAAGTGCTCCACAAAAATGCATGCTATGATAAATTTCCTAGTCTTTAAGGTGCTATGGGACTCTTTAAAGATTTGGCAGAGTACTCTTTAGCTTAATTCTGTTGCCCAGCATGCTGTGAAACTGTTGTTTAACCCTGGTTTCTGTTGCACACTTCTAGAGATGTTTCCTAAACAGGAAGAAATACCTTTATATTACTTGATTTCCTAAGAGATGTTTGCTGTAGTTTTGCCACAGGATACTAGCTGGTGGTATCAATCCAGTGCAAGGTAGTCACAGCTAAGTACCTTTGAAAATGATGAGGTTTATATTACTGCCACAACTTATTCCTGTGACTTTAATATGACTTGTAAGTTTTCTTAGACTGAGGCTTGCATCTTTTGATTTATAATTTGTATTATATGAATTAAATTATTAAATTCTACAAGGGTTCTAAATTTCTTAAGATAATATCTTGTGGCACAAGTAACACCAATAAATTCCCATGAGACTGCTGTTTTTATTGCAACAGACTTAACATGGCTATCCCCCCATTCTGTAACATCAAAATACACTGAAGAAATCATGCATGTCCATAATGAACAGCAATTAGACTAAATCCAATTTGTAAATTTATGTCTGAGGATGACCTAATATATGTAAAGTGATTCTGTACATATCTATTTAGAGGTGTGAGACCTGCTGAGATAGGCTTGGTATCAAGAAAATGTGTATGGACTGCAGTATTCAGTTTCCTGCCCATTCTTTTCAAAATGGGTATTTGGTACTGAATGCACAGACTTTTCCTAGTATAAAACTTTCAGAACTACCTTGAGCCTTTCCCTTTTGGCAGAGAAAAATAGGGTACAAATATTCAAAGATAAATAAGTGGGACAGAATATGTACATATAAGTCTGCTTTCATGAATAAATCAGCTGTATTGAATTTAGCTATAAAAATTATTTATGCCACTTGTACTACAACTTTGTAGCATGACCCATGTTTAACTTTATAGGCAAAACATTGGCAATCCGTTTCCTAACATTTTGAATGGTTGCTTCAGTAACTTGTGACAAAAAGCAGTATTGTGAAAGATGGGACAAGGAACTTGTTTCATTTTTGTTTAAAACTTGCTACTTGGTGTGATCTCACCAGGGGGAGTAATGACTTTCAGAAACTACATATACCTCTACTACCCAACAGCTTTCAGATTTTTCTTTTTTAAGTAAACACTCGAAAATCACCACCATTATCACTGTGTGCATGTATGGATTTTCTAGGCCTGGGGATTATTGTCCCTACCTAATGTTACGCAGGCATTCCTCCGCATCACATACAAAAACATAGTCCTTGCTAGCCCTGGCGGAGCCATATTCCAGTATTGGAGATGCTGAAAGCAGGGAGATTTGCTGCATCCATGGAGGATACCCACAGTTTTGAACCTGACAGCATGTAGTACCAAATTGTGTGGGAGGTCCCAATGGACAAGCAGGTCCTCGTTTCAGATGCAGCTTTTCCCTCTAACATGTGAAGGTGGCAGGAACTAGCTGATGTGGACACAATGGAAGAGTGAAGCCAGCAATGAATATGTCACTACTCTTTTCCCCATGCAGTTCTAATTGCAAAATATATAGAGTGACTGGATATGTCTGTCTGTTACAGTCTGTACTTCATTGTAAAAATCTATTGAGTACCATGTTACTCATAAAGAACAGTTTTTAGGAACCAGCATTGTGAGCAAAACAACTGAATGTTTAATCAGAAGTAAGTTCAGCAGGTAAAGGTGAAGGTTCCCCTTGACAATTTTTGTCCAGTCGTGTTCGACTCTAGGGGGCAGTGCTCATCCCCGTTTCTAAGCCATAGAGCCAGCGTTTTGTCCGAAGACAATCTTCCGTGGTCACATGGCCAGTGCGACTTAGACACGGAACGCTGGTACCTTCCCAACGAGGTGGTCCCTATTAATCTACTCGCATTTGCATGCTTTCGAACCGCTAGGTTGGCGGGAGCTGGGACAAGTGACGGGCGCTCATTCCGTCACGTGGATTCGATCTTACAACTGCTTGGTCTTCTGACCCTGCAGCACAGGCTTCTGCGGTTTAGCCCACAGCGCCACCACGTCCCTGTTCAGCAGGACGTAGTCCTAAATAAGCATGCCTCGATTGTTCTTCAGTATTAATCTGTAATCCAAGTCCTGTCTATGCCATGCATTTTTTTCCATGTGAACAAGTCAAAACTTGTTTGGGAAGAAGGAGGTAAGTTTTTGGTACGATGAACAAGAGACTATTCAGCTTCAAATGACCAGTGGACAAATCGCCAGACTGAATATTTCATGAATAAAATCTTCCTTGTACACAGAAATATAGTATTTCTGTTGAGAAGTTATGCTAACTTTTCACTAAGCACAGCATTTTGGCGTGGGACACAGCATTTTGGCGTGGGAATTGGGAATCAATCATACACCTGCATTTTAAAGTAGCAGTCTTAGAGTCTCAGCTTATGCTTTTACTAAATGTACAGGGAAGATTGAACACTGTTATTCCACTGAAAGAACTTCTTCCATCAGCAGAATTGGGGTGAGGAGTCTGGTCTCTCATGCAGCCCCTGTGTATCCTCAAAAACCTATGCTGGTGGTTTGGGAAATCTTCTGGAACAAGTTTTCAGATGTGCAGAAAGCTGCAGGGGTAGAGAAGAGATTAGTGTAATATTGGTTTTAAGCCACTGATTATGTATAGATGTACTGTACATATTATACACATTATATTTTAATACTGCCTTTCAGGACGAATCCTCAAAGCAGTTTACTAGTAAAATGCTAAAATAATAAAAGTTAAACTACCACTAACTGAAACAGTAGCATAAATCATTTAAAGTAATAGCATCTCTAATTGATAGTACAAATAGGCATCTATTCTCTTAAAAGTGTACTGGAGCAATTAGATTGTTAGACCCACTTAAAAGCAGTAGAAAAAGGAACCATAATCTCATGACAAGGCATTCTATAAGGATGGAGCCAGGACAGAAAAGCACAATTTTGGGGATTTTACTGATGGGCAAATTAGCAGTTTCACCATGGCTGATCTTGAGGCCCAAGCAGGTGTATACAGAAGTGGTTTATCATAACCATCTTTCAATTTCTTACCCACTAAGGAAGGGTGTTATATAGCCATTATCGCTATAAAAGTTGACTAGCAGTTTGCACATTATAAGCATTATGTAAATGACAGATAATAGTAGTGAGCGTGGGAGTGAATAGGAGACTCAAGAGTTTATAAGTCTTGCCTAGATGGGAATCTATTTGCTTGTTGTCTGTAGGTAACATACTAGGCATGATTTATGGCAAATTCAGCAAAACCAAAAAAGGAATCCAAAGTAGAAAAATCTTTCAAGGCCCAGTCTTATAGCCTACTGTATTGAGTACAAAATACTCAACACTGAAATCCTCTGTGAAGACATTCATATGCTACCTTGTGTTTTGCTAATCTGTCTGAGAAACAAAGTAGTGATGCTCAGTCCCTCTTGTCTTGTCTGGTTACTCCACGAATAAACAGATCCAGTAATAATCTTTGTATTAGCCATATTTTGAGCAACATAGTGGCAAGAATCCCATTGCTTACCTTAGTAAATTGCACTACAATAGGCTGATTGAATCAATGATGATTTAGTGAATCACATCCTCCATATGTTCCACTGATGCAAACAGACCCATTCTAATTACAATTTACTATGGCAAAATAAGTCACAGTAATAATAGTCCTATTTGAATCAACAGAATTTATGAGTTGACCAAATCCTCATTGATCCAATGGGCCAACTCTAGTGCGATTGACTATGCTGCACAACAGGATTTTGACCAGTGTTACAAAGATCAGTAGAACATGATCTTAGATAAAATGTTGATCTGACTTCAAATAGTTCTTCCCTTTCTGTTTCCTTCTTCCTTTTCACCCACTCCACTCTATCTCCTCTACCAATCAGTTTCATTTCTCCTGTCCATCACACTCAACACTCTGTAACACCACATTGTTATGGGTCTGTCTTCTCTTTGTTATTTTCTCCCTAACTCTTTTTTTAACATCACCAAATCTGAAGGTTACCCTTGAGTATACTAAAAAATACTTTTCTGCCAGACAAAAGCAGGGATGACCATGCTTGTTTACAACTAATTCCAAAATCCATCCTCAGTTGCTATCTTCTTTAGGCCAACAACAAAGCACTAAAACATGTGCATGTTTCAAGAATACTATCTCTTTATTAGGCAAAAAAATGTAAGAGGTGTAGAAGAGGGAAAGGAAGAAAACCTAGATGCAAAACGTTTTGACTCTCAAGCTCTTAGTAAGTCTATGGCTTGTTGTCGTTTAGTCGTGTCCGA